CTAGAATTCTGGTCTCATGAGTCACAGGCAGGCTCTTCATTCTCCAGAGATACAGCTGGACTTTCTGTACCTGAGTGTGTTTTGTTTTGGGGTCAGAGCAAATAAAGGCTCAAACTCTAAGGCTGTTTAACAGACATGGTGCAGAAGATGGCAGAATGTGGGGYAGGGGGAGAATCCTGCTTTACATTGCTTTTCTTTTAACTTTCAAGTGAACTAGTGTAGCCTCAGCTGTCATGTGTCACTATGTAATAATTCAGGAACTAACTCAAGATTATTCTTCTCCTTTTCTTCCTTCTCCTCCCACTTTGCCCCTTCCCCCTCCTTCCCTTGCTCCTTCCCCCTCCTTCCCTTGCTCCTTCCCCTCCTCCCCCTTTTTCTTTCTCTTTCTCCTTTTCCTTTTCCTCTGCCTCCTCCTCCTCCCTTTTTATTAATTTTCTTTTTTTTTTCAATTTTTTTTTTTTAGTTTTAGTGGACACAATATCTTTACTTTACATTTATGTGGTGCTGAGGTTCGAACCCAATGCCTCATGCATGCCAGGCGAGCACTTTAACCACTGAACCATAATCCCAGCCCCAATTTTCTTATTAATAAAGTTATATCATGTTTCTGGATGGGAAGGCTTATTTCACCCTAATGTAATATATAGTTTTGGTGTAATTATAGTTATTGTCCCAAAGGATTTTTTTTTAATTTGACAGAGATGTTGTAAAATTCATCCAGAGATCTAAGCAAGCAAAAAGAGATAAGAATACTGAATAAGACTAATGAGAGAACTTGAATGACCAGGTATAACACATTGTATAGCCACAGTCTTAGGGATTAGTATACGAATTATAGGCATGGGAATATACCTCATGGCATAGCAGTTGCAGTGAAAGAAAGAATAACTACTAATAAGAATTTAAGTATAGAGTCACTGGGAGAAAGAATGAAATATTCAATTAATAATTCAATTAACAGTATTTGGTAAGAGTAGAGTCTCATGCCAAAAGTCAAAATACAATTCAGATTGATTTAAAAAATTAAAATGTGGTCTGAGGATGTAGCTAGTAGTAGAACACTCACCTAAGGCCCTGGATTCAATCCATAGTGGCGTGCATGCACACACACACACAAACACACAAACTGGACTGGCCTGTAATTCAATTACTAGGGAGGTCGAGGCAGGAGTATCTTAAATTTGAGGCCAGCCTGAGCAACTGTGAGACCCTGTCTGAAAATAATAAGATGATGATGATGATGATGATGATGAAATTTAAAAAAGAATTAAAGCTAGGTTCCTATCCTCTATGAAAGGACATCCCTCTCTCCACCGAGAGTGTCCCGTTTCTCCTTTCCTATCCTTTTTAATAAATGCATTCCTGTTGCCCTGAAAAAGGAAAGTTAAAAATCTAAGGGAAAATAAAGAAGTTGTTTATATGGTCTCTTGGGAAAATCATTCTTAAAAAAAATATTAAAAGTCAGACAACTTAAAATGTTTTCATGTTTGACCATATAAATATTAAACCATTGAAATTAAAAAAGACCTATACAAGCCTAAAACTTCTTGCTATAGGATTAGGTCTTAAATGATTTAGGATCTATTAAAATATAGAATAAAAATTTTCCTGGATTCTGTTTAACTTGAATGGGTCTCAGAAGGACACTGGGGAAGAAAGGAAAGAGAGGTGTGTAACGGGCAGGTAGAGTATTGTGTTCAAGTCAGTTTTTCCATTGTACAAAATACCTGAGATAAGCAACTTACAAAGCTCACAGTTTCAGAGGTTTCAGTCCATGGTTGATTGGCCTGTTGCTTTTGGGCCTGTGGCAAGCAGTATATCTTGGTGGGAGCACATGGCAGAGCTGGGAAGCAAAGGGAGAACAGAAGGGACAGGGTCCCAGTATCCCCTTGCACTGACCTAACTTCTACCATTAGGCCCCACCTCCTCAAGGTCCCATCACCTCCCCAGAGCACCACAGACTGGGACCACACCATTAACACGTGGGCCTCTGGGGACTTTTCACATCCCAATACAGTTGATGTTGAAAGGTGGAGCCTGGTCTGGGGTTGCTGTCCGTCCTGAAAGTGTTATCTTATCATAGCGGGAGCTGAAAACTGGAGAGGAAAGGACATAGGAAAGATCKGGCTGGTCTTTGTAGTTATGTGACCCTGGCAGGTCTCCAGTCACTCAAGGCTCTCTGAGCACCAGAGAGGATGCCCTAGTAGTGCAGTTCATCTCAGGTGGCACCCCTCGATGCCTAAATGTGGTAGAATTTCTAGGTAGGATTCTTTCTCATGCATCTGCATTTCTCTAAACCTCTATCTTTTTTTCCTTTTGTTTTGTTTTCCTCGGGTTCTATGGGAGAACAGTAAAAGTTCWTAAGTAAGGAGAAGCTTTACTTATAAGTTCTTATTAAAAAGGGAAAGCAAATGGTATTAATGTTTTCGGGAGGACAGAGGATGCCTGGTAATTTAGTCATTTCCTCTGAAGTATGGTTTGTGGGCTGGAGACAGAAATGGGAAGCAGTGGAATTACTTGTGCTTTTACTTTCTGTGAATTTCAGGTACCTCTTTTGTAAAATGGAATTAGTTTTTTTTTCTTTTCTTTCTTTCTTTTTTTTTTTTTTTT